CCCCACCACTCACCCCAGAGGGGAAGGAATTTGAAGTCACACCTCTCCAGGGATGTGAGGAAATTTGGTGGGATAGAACCCAACGCAGCAGGTTAAAAGGCTGAGGTCAGACTGGGCTGAGGAGTTCTTTTAACTTCAACACTCGGGGGTTTCCACCTCATCTTTCAGTCAAATCTGAACCACAGAACCAGCTTGAGGTTTTAAAATCTTTGAACAAGAATAAAACTCCTGCTCCGGTTTAGAAAATACAAATCAATTTTCAGCACATTCACCGTCGTGTCTAACGAGGTGGAGCTAAAGCTATGCTAACTTTAACTTATTAGTTTATTAGCCGTGTGGCTAACCTTTATGAAGTTAGCCTTCAGTTTGGACTTTTCTCTGAGCAACATTAAAATCATCTGGACACATTTGAACTTTTTCCAGATCATTTCCACTTTCCATCTGCTAACGTGAAGGTCTGCAGTGACTGAAGGAACGGCAGCTAATGATCCGTCCCAAATCCTCCCCCTTTACTCCCCCTGCTCCTCCTGGACAAGATTGACTGCATGGAGTCGTAATGCGTCTCCTCTCCCTCCTCTGGATGAGGAGACGCAGACTAAATAAACTATGCAGAGTCCTGATTGGAGGAGGAGCTCCACAAATAAATGCAGTAAAGAGGAAGACCAGGATGAGGATCAGAGGGATCAGAGGGATCAGAGGGAGCCGTGGTTTTTATTGATCTTTGTTACAGTGACTGATGTCAAAACTGGTTCCTTACTACAACAAACCTTCAGGCAGCAGGATGACTCCCTTCAACTCCAGCTCCTTTCCCCCATGTTCTAGTCAGTCCCATCTTCTCCTCAGTACCATCAGTCCACTCTCCTCCTCTATCTTTCCCTGCCCCCCCCCCCCCCGGGGCCCCCCCCCCCTTCACGCTATGCAGCCTCGACTCATCTCAGTCTAGCGGGGCCTCGGAGACTGCAGCCCAGACTTTCTGGCTCCGCTGCCATTGTTTGTCCAACTCAGCTCTGTGCCTGGATTAGCATAAGAATACCCACAATGCACTGAGCTGCTGTGAGCAGCCCTGCAGGACTCCGTCTTCTCTGCATCATCCGTCTGACTTCATCCTTCATCCAGTTAAGACGATTGGAGGGCTTTTAAAAATGATGAAAACGGAACCTCGCGTATCGACCAATCCTGAAGCAGAGCTCAGTCGTGTTCAACAAATGAACTGAACTAAAACAGTTCAAGGTTCCGTCACGGGCTCTGGTACCTGTGCCTCAAGTAGAAAAGTGACTGAGATACCCAGTACTCAGAAAGTATTCATCACATGAATTATGCAATAAAATTCACCATCTTATAATTCGTAGCACAGCTCAATCTACAGACAAACATGTACCAGGTACCTGGTTTAATACCAGCACAGAAAAGCACATGGTTCCAAGAACTGTTTGGTAATTCCACAGGTTTGGCCTGAATTTTGTGAATTTTGTGAAGCAGGTAACATTCACGTCATAGTGACCCCAGCTGACCTCTCTCTCACACACACACACACACACACACATACACACACACACAGACACAGACTTTTGGAGACGTGGAGTCTGGTCACACAGTAATGAAAGTCATAAAGTAACAACGCTGGAGTTCAGACCCAGAGGCGTCCGCTCTACCAGCTCCGTCCATCTGAGGTCCAGTCAGAAAAACAAATACAGTTGGGACCATTAACAGTTATGGTAACCAATCACAGCAGCCACAGGTACCAGTCTCATTTAGACGCCGGTGGGTGGAGGCCCGACACAGAGCCCTCCTCCAGGTCACCTGGAGCGCTGAGTGAACCAATCATGAAGCCAAGAATCAACGGCTCTGGTCTGAACAAATGATCTGGACTAAAAGGCTGTTCACGTCACTGACGACACTACACCAAACTGCTGTTAAAGCTCAGCAGTTGAAGAAGACGATGAAACTACGTTGTGGAGTAAACGTGAAAGAATAAGAGTCTGAAGATTTATAATAATATAATAATGACAAAAACCTGAAATGTTGGGGGGGGCAGTGACAGGTCGACAACTGTAAACTCACTGACTGACTGTTTCAGGACTGGGTTCAAACCCTTGACCTCAGTCCAACAATCCTGCGTGGTTTTATCAACAGCAGCTGCCCTCGTCCTACACCCACTTCCTTTCACTCCTTTTCCTCTTCAACCCTCATCGTGGGAAAGAAGCGAATGGAAAATACGACGTGAAACGATCACGTGTTTCTACCTGTGACTCTGAGCTCTGGGATAGAAATGAACTCATGTCCATCTGTGACGGCAGGTACAACATCAGTCAGTCTTTAAGATGATGCTGCTGCACCACAGTCTTCAGTCAGTCTCCAGACAGTCTTCAGTCTCCAGTCAGTCTCCAGACAGTCTTCAGTCAGTCTCCAGACAGTCTTCAGTCAGGCTCCAGTCAGTCTTCAGTTAGTCTTCAGTCAGTCTTCAGACAGTCTCCAGACAGTCTTCAGTCTCCAGACAGTCTCCAGACAGTCTTCAGTCAGTCTCCAGACAGTCTTCAGTCAGTCTCCAGACAGTCTTCAGTCAGTCTCCAG